CTCCAATGATGCGTCCATTGACCGGACCTCCACTCTCTGCGTTCCCCAGTCAACCTATGCAGAGCATGGTTAACACTCAGTCAATGGGTGGTATGTCAATGGGACCATCAATAGGCGCACCGCAAATGAACCCTGGAGGGATGATGAATCCTGGACAGATGGTAATGTTGCATGGCAAAAACATAACATCATTTCGTTAATCTTGTCTCACAAATAGATGTACCGTCAACAGATGCATACTCTGCATAAGAACGGCCTCCCTCAAGGCGGTATGAACCCTATGATGCCAGGAGGACCTGTTGCAAGCTCACCAGCAGGTGCGGACCAGTTCAACGGTGACGGATCACAATCCAGACCTGGTACTGGTATGCCTGGTCAATTTGGCGTACCAGGTGGGCCAAACAGCCGATTAGGTCCTGGGGTTGGAGTAGGAGGACCGCTATCACAAGGCAACAAGATGATGCCTCCACCCTCTCCTTCTATGAATTCGGTGAAGAATCCAACAAAACCTGATGGTCCAGATGGCTCGGTGAATGTTTCCACATCGTCACCGCGGAATGCGGGTCAACCTGGGAGTAATCAGCCTTCTGGGATGTCACATCCCACCAACCAAGGCACCCCTTCTGGAACGCATACAGCACCCCCAACCCCGATTCCGTCCAATAATACTATTATGACTGCTCCTTCACCCTCATCGAACTCAATGAATAATTCTGGTCCCCCCTCTGGGCCTCCAGGTTCTCAAACTGGAGGAATGAATCCTCCACCTATGACAACACCAAATCCGAATGATTTATTCGGGCCAGGTGATTTCACGATGTCAGGATTTGAAGATCTTGACCCGACATTGTTCAGGCCAGATGGGGTGACTGATTTCGAAAGGGATTTTGGGGAGTGGTTTAATCCTGGAGATGTCGCTCTGGATTTATCCCGGTAACTAATGTTTGTTTTCTATTGGGTTGTAAGAAGTGGTGTGTTCCATATATCTTTTGGTTTCCTCGCTCCCTCGTTATCTGGACGATCTTTATTCATTGATCTTACTTCGCTCATTTTCGTTGGTCGCACCGTTCTATTCGATTCATGATCTACATTCAAGGTTACCCCACTTGCCTCATCGACCGTCGTACTCTTACCCCCGTTCGAACACCCTCGTCACTCGCCCACTCTGAACGCATTCTTTCTTGGTCACAAGCTGTGGCACATTGTCTCGATGGGTCCAAAAAGGTTTCTCTTCTCTTTTTTCTGTTATAGTTGTATTTATCGCCGTTGACCCAGGCCAAATCCTCCATCATTTTCCGCTCAAAACCAACCCTTCTCATCTTCGGCTGTTGTTGTTGTTTGGTCTCCCTGTTTGGTAGTTTCTACCGCTCATTGGTTTCTTCAAGGTGTTAGAGCTCTCCTTCCCCAAATTTTCGTTATCCTTACACGCCCAGTACCAAACAACCAAGTTACCACCAACCAATCAAATATCATTTTCTCTCATTATCCCCGTTTCTCTGTGTATGTTTGCGTTTGCTATCGCTTCGCTTCTCCCATTGCTCTTTTTTTATCTTTTTTTCTTCTGCGTTTCTTCTCCTCTTTGTTACCCTACTACATCTTGCTCCTCTTTGAGCTTTCATTCGACTGATTTGATGTTTTATAGCTCTACTCTCCTCGTCGTGTACTTGTTTTACATATATACTCTCCGGAAGGAAAATCTAACTCTGCCTTTTCTTTGTTTTACTTTCTTCCTTCGGGTGAGTTTTCACTGATAGTGATACCCCTAAGTATGATGCCACAAACATGTGCACGCAGGGGCTTGTGACGTATGTGACACTGTGTCACCCTCATCGTTGAAGCACGTGCTGCAAAATTGCGGTTCGCGTGCTTTATGATCAAGATTAGACGAACAACCTTATTACTTCCCGAGTCTTGGATGATGTCGAAAGGACGAGTTCTGAGCATTCAATCTCATGTTGCCTTCGGGTATGTTGGAGGAAAGGCCGCTGTCTTTCCTCTGCAATGTCTTGGTTACGATGTTGATGTAAGACGACCTTTTTTTACTTGGGATTGAACTGACAATGTAGTCTTTAGGTTGTAAATACCGTTAACTTTTCCAATCATTCTGGTCAGGATATAGGTCATTTCAATGGTGCAGATGTATTCTGACAAGTTATGATACAGGTTACGGTCGTTTTGGAGGCTCGAAAGCTAATGCATCGGAGCTATCAACAATATTTTCCACAATGGAACAGAACGGTTTACTACGACCGGAACGTTTATTAACAGGTTTGTATCTTTTGGCCACTTTTTGTTTTGTGTATTGAACGTTCTTCTTCAGGATATATACCCAGCGGGGATGCACTCTTGGCTATTAAAGACTTAGCAGTTAAACTGCGTGAACGCAATCCTGACCTTCTCTATCTCCTTGACCGTACGTATGACTCCCCATGACTCACCTTCTGGTGTTGATGGAGCTGACCAATAAATTGTATTCTTTCCTTACAGCTGTCCTTGGAGACGCTGGGAAACTCTATGTTTCCCCAGATGTGATACCAGTGTATCAATCCATGTTACCATTAGCCACTATAATTACTCCCAACTGGTTTGAAGTCGAGTAAGTCTGCAAATTTCCTTGTAGCAAAGATAACGATAACACTGATTTATGGGTTTCTTTTACACCCAGAGTCTTAACAGGCGTCCATATGACGGACCTACGAACGCTACGTCAAGCTCTCAAGATTTTACACCACGAACATAAAGTTCCTAATGTCGTTATCAGTTCTATACCCTTAAAAGAATGGCTTAAATCCGTTCTCCCTTCCGACATTTATACCCCTTCCCCACTACTAGAAGCGATTGTTGAGCAAGATTATCTCCTCTGTATCACATCTTCTTCAGAAGATTTGACTCCGACTTCATCACCACCTTCAAGAGTCCACGCTAGAGCAGTCCCCTGTATTCCAGGATATTTTTCGGGTGTCGGAGATTTATTCTCCGCTCTTGTATTAGCACATTTCAAACCTTCGGTTCTTCCAACGATATCCAATGAAGCAAATTGTGCCGAATCCAACGCTGAACTAGAAGATGCCCTCGCTCATGCAGTCTCGCATGCTATCACCAAAACACATGCCATGTTAACTTTGACTCAATCCTACGCGATGACATTACCAGAAGATGAGAGGCAACCTACAGATGACGAATTAGACGAGAATGAACTTGATAGGAAGGTGAGGAGGATGAAAGGAAGGGAGTTGAGACTTATTCAAGGTCAAGATATCATTCGTGGTCTGGCGAATGTTGAGAACAGGAAGATGGATAGATGGGTTGGGTTCTGGGATGATAGTTAGACGGATTGCTGGTATCTTCCGATCTTAAACTCTGTGTTGTATAAATTGACTAGAATCTAAACATATTAGATTAGACTCAGAGGTTAGACCTCCCAGAATGCGGTTTCCAGCTCTGGAAAGTACGCCAGCATTGACAAGTAAGCAATGGTATGTTGATAATTCAAAAATGGGGTATAGTCTCAGTCATTTCTATACTTATCATGGTAGGATTCATGGCCCTTGTTCTTGATAATGATGTTGAAGAAATCTGCAAAGTTTTGTTCAAAGTCCCTGTGAGTCTTGGCACTTGCGGAGATCAATAACATAGCGCCGCTGTTGTTCAACAATGTGGTTTAGAATCAGCTCCGCTATGAGATGCATCCGCTGTCCAGCACTGCCTTGACCATTCATATTGATCGCTAGTTTCATGTTGAACTAGTCGCAACTCACGAGCGGTGTAAGAGGGTCTCGGATGCATATTATATAAAGGGAGTGTTTCATCTGCTTGTGCCACACTCAAATCATAAACCCCCTTTATTTCGATCTTCTCGTATTGTCCTTTGTTACTCTTCCTCGGCCACTTGCGCATTTTCTTATATTATCGTCTTTTTTTCAGTTCTTCGGGTTGCAACTTGACATTATTGTCGATTTCACTCATTGACTGCTAACACCTTTCTGTGCAACTCGACTTCTACTAGCCGCAATGTTCAGTTCTCTTCGAATTTCCTTCATCGCCTCCGTGGCGTTCACGACATTTACGACAACCTTTGCAGCACCAACCATCGCTCCAGCTATCGAACTAGACAACCGGGATGTCAGCGCAGCTTGTGGTGGCCTCCCGAACGCCGTCAGTGACTACGTCAACTTTACCTTGACCGCGCTGTATAAAAACATTCCTAACGATAACATCACTGGTATCCCTCTCGTTGTTGGCCAAGCGGGTGCTATTTCCGGCGAGGAGCTGAAAGTATTTTCTGTGAGTTCTAATTGTCCCATTTATTGTTTCATGAACGATGCCGAAACTGAAATTGCTGTAGACTTTCGCATCTTACCCATTCCTGGATTTATTCCAACTTCACTTGGCCAAAGGTGGTATAACAGCAACTGGGAATGGAACCGGTGAGACCACCGCAACTTCACGAACTGTGGTTGCAGGTTCCGAGCCTCACTTCGTTGTTACTACTCCCGAAGAGCCTCCTGCAGAAGACGTCTACTGTGCTTTGGTTAGTCCTAGCGTTAACGTTCAAATACCACAGTACAAACAACTAAATCTTCTCTTTTTGAATTCAGGTCAGCACAAGTGCCAATGGATCCCCAAATTCGCAGTTCCCTCGTTTGGCAATTGGACCGGATTCAGACAGTTTCTCTCTTTGCCCAGATGGTTCTCAAGTGAACGTGTTCTACAAACCATCTGAATCTCAAGAGGGTTGCGAACCTGTAGATTTACTCATGATCTCCTTGTAACGGACGAGTTTCGTTCTCGAAATTGGTGGATTGTGATGAATGTGGCGGAGCATGTTGATTGTTTGGGATCCTGAACAGACTATGTTTCTAATGATTGTGTTGACGATATCTCTATGTTAAAAATATACAATGTGATATCAACGGCATTACGATTTGTTATCTACGTTTTACAGCAATGAGGACCACAAACATTCCTAGTTGAATAAAAATGGGATGGGACTCCAGTAGCTGCCCCTGTGAGGCTCGAACTCACGACCTTCTGATTGCCATTGAAATAACAGTCAGACGCTTTGACCATCTAAGCCAAGGGGCATATAGTAACTAAATCATCTGCCCAAAAATGAAGAGACGGGAGAAATTATCACCACCATAAGTATTTCCCCTGCGTTAGAAGATGTGAAGTTGACATTAATGTTCACCTCAAATTTAATAACCTGATTATTCGTAGGATTCTCTGCGTGAGGGGGATAGACAGCTGCAGCCAATCAAATCGACGTTTTGATCCTCTAGAAAAGGAAATAAAGTCAAAGCCGTCGATCCAATCTTATTTAAGCTTTGCCACGTGACTGCGTCGAAATTTACGGCCGCGGGTGTTTCGTGTTCGCAGCTGGACCTTGCCGACGATCCTCCACCAAAGTTTCGTGTTCCCTTTCCTCTACCACGACATCCTTCCCCGAGACTTTCAAAACTCCTTGCCTGAGGGGTTGTCTCTTTCCTTGATTTTTTGAATTATGTCTTCTGCAACGTCACAACCTGAAGCGGGTCCCTCAAAAAGTACTTGGCTTCCAGCTAAGTCATGGAAACATTTTGTCGCTGGAGGGTGAGTGGTTCATAAGTAAGAATTTCATTTGTTCAGATGAATCTGACTTCATTATTAAGATTAGGCGGAATGTGCGGTGCCATTGTCACTAGTCCTTTCGATGTTGTAAAGACTCGTCTACAGTCAGACTTGTTCAAAGAAAAACATGGGACGATTGGCGTCTCAGGGAATGGCGTCGTAGTGGCCGCACGACGAACAAACCTGCTATGGCATTTTGTCGAAACCGGGCATATTCTAAGGTACGCTTGACACGTTGATGGTGCAGACCGAACCAAATCCTCATAAGCCTACCATTATTAGGGATATCTATCGAGATGAATCCCCTCGTGCTCTGTTTAAAGGTCTTGTGCCAACACTTGTTGGAGTTATTCCTGCTAGGTCGATAAACTTCTTTGCCTACGGGAACGGCAAGCAAATTATAGCCAATAACTTCAACAACGGTCAGGAGAACTCTTGGGTTCATCTTGTAGCTGCTGCATGCGCCGGAATTGCGACAGGAACAGCAACTAATCCCATATGGGTCGTTAAGACTCGTCTGCAGTTAGATGCTCACACACTTCAAACGTCGCAACCTGGTCAATCCAAAATGCTTGGAGGTTCGTGGAATACGATCAAGCAAATTATGCGGGAAGAGGGTATCAAAGGTTTCTACAAGGGACTGAGTGCAAGTTATCTGGGTGTAACGGAAGGCACTATTCAGTGGGTCTTATATGAAAGATTAAAGAAGTTGACGGCGAATACAGAGGGTAAAGGTGGTTTTATGGAATGGGTTGGTTTGCTGGGTAGTGCCGGAACGGCCAAATGTGTTGCAAGTTTGATCACATATCCACATGAGGTGAGCACTGGAAGATGGTCATCATCTTCGCTTTGATTGTTAAATGCTGTCGACAATTGTAGGTACTACGAACACGGTTACGACAACCTCTAGTAAACGGTCAAGTCAAGTACAAGGGACTAGTACAAACTCTTCGCCTTGTTATTGCTGAAGAAGGCGCAAAATCCCTCTACGGAGGACTCAGCGCACACCTTATGCGAGTTATCCCTAATGCTGCTGTTATGTTCTTCATCTATGAAGCAGCTCTTAGATGGTGATAATCTCCAACCCTTTGCTCAAAACCAACCAAACCCCCTTTCTCCAACCCCTCAGGCTATTACTGGAGACAGCATCTTGCATCCATCATACCTCTTATTACCATAGACCCGTCCACTCGCTCTTTGTGTTTATATATGCTATCGGAATCATTTTATTATCGCATGTATGGTCGTATAATTTCGTTACTTATGCTCTTTGTTAGATGTAATTGCACACCACCACTTTACCCTTATCCAAAAGGACAGATTCCATTTCCTTGTTGCATGTATGTTCTGATGTTCACATGCATGTGGTCGCTACTAGGTCACTTCAACTATTCATCACAACTCTCATGTAGCTATAATACAAGGTTACCAGTTACGATGCACGTATGTAGTGATCCATTTCTTCAATGTTGGAAACAATGCATAAAAGTAAATCATATCGTGACAAATCCGTTCTACTTCAAAATACAGTAAGGGTCGTTTCAAAATTCCTCCATACAGAAAAAAAAGTTGTCCATTGACTCGTAATTATTGAAACATATCTTCTGAACTTTCGCTCCGAGTCTCAACGTTAGTTTCCATCTGTTTAGTTCTCTCCCCTGTTCAACTTATCCAACGAATCAACACCGCGTTCAAACCATTCCTCTCTTGTAATCCAGAATTCTTGACGGTTCTTCATGATATCTGCGAGAACAGCACCACCAAGGAAAACCATGTGTTTTCGGCGAGGAGGGTCCTCAATTCTGATCTTGAATTTCTATGTACCAGGTCAAGTCAGTGAAATCATCATCATCCCTTGTTAACAGAGGGTCACGTACGTTAAGTCTTGTGGGATCGCTGTTTAGCACCCGAGTGAGATACAACTGCTTCATCTCTTTCTCGAGACGACTGGGTAATCCAGGATACATACTAGATCCTCCAGAGAGAACGATATGCTTGTAAAGTTCACCACGAATATCCACTGCCGCGGTTTGAATTGTCTGGAAAAGCATTTCTGCTACACCTGGTTGCTCAACATCAACTAGATGTGGTTGGAACATGCATTCAGGAGCTTCGAATCGTTCTGAACCGATCTTGATGATGCGTCCATCTGGAAGCTGCATATTTACGTTAGAGCGAGATAAAAAAAAAAGAGCAGACAGTCGTGTACATACTGTGTAGGTCTCAACTAGAACCGTGGTCTCCTCCGCTAACCGAGTATCGAGGTCAAGGTCGTAGCTGACATTGGTCGATGAGCATTACACTCGCACCCATTTGAGTGAATACTCACCTAACATAGCACAATTTCTCTTTGATCTCTCGTACAGTTTCAAAGTCAGCAGTACGATTGAAGGCGTATCCTCGCATGAGTAATAATTTGATCAAGTATCGGGTTACGTCTCGACCGGCAATATCCAAACGTCGTGTCAGATGAGGAAGGGCGAAGCCATCGTAGACAGGAACAATATGTGTGACACCATCTCCAGAGTCGACCACAACACCAGTAGTGAGACCTAACCAGACATTAAAGTATAAATTCATCGTTACCCGTACCTATGTAGAACAGGGGAATGCGATGCTCACCTTGAGCATAAAGAGTCAATACAGCCTGAATAGCAACATAAACTCCCCCAAATCCATATTCTTCGAACATGACTTGACACATTCGTTGTCTGTTGACCTTCGGATTCATCGGAGGTTCCGTAAGGAGAACTTTGCGTCCTTGAGTATCAACCTTCAATTTTTCATCGAATGTGTAATCCCACAGCAGCTTCATATCTTCCCAGTTCTTCACAATACCATGTTCCATAGGTTGAGTGACTTGAAGGTAATTCCTGTTCTCCGCAGCTTCATCTCCAATCATAACATCCTTGATAATAGCTGAACCGACACGTTCTTCAGCACGAAGGATTGGTCGACCGACGATGGAAGGAAATACTGTTCATTGTGTTCAATCACGGTTTAGCAAGACTTGAGATGAAGAATATGTACCGAATTCAGGGAAGTTGGAGCCTGCATAGCCCACTTTTACAAACTAGAGGATAGTGAGTCTTATAAGAGTTTCGAAAGCAAATATATGTTTGACATACACCGGTACCGTTATCGACGACGAGAGGTATTGAAGGATCCATACTTAAAGTTAATACGAGATGGAGGAAGGTGGTGAAGTCAGATGGTATCGTGAGCCTGGACTTTCAAGGATAAATCAAATAATGAATTCACATAACAACCGATCAAAATCATATTGATCCACATAGTAACCTGTTGTATAGACTCTTATAATACGTTACTGACTCAGTAAGTAATGTTTGTTAGTCTATTTATAGTGTGGTTTCAAGAAGATCAGCAGCCGTAAATTATCTTTTCCCAACGACTTTTGCTCTCGACGTTCATCTTCTCGCCTCGCTGGTGGTCGTCTTCAGCGATTCATTAACGTTCCAACGACTCGACATTCCCTCGGGAATCCCACTTTCATTTTAATTCGACGCTCTTTTTCCAACTCACTTTGATATATCAATATCGACCAAAGTTCTTCCAAAATTATGCAACACCTTCAACAGAGATCTATCCACCGTCGTGGTGTCCTTCGTCGCCAGAATGGATTCAGTCCAACAGTTAACTGGGATCAACCGACAGACACTGCGGTTGTGAATACAAATCCCGCAAGTCCTGCTTCTAGTAACACACCTGCTTCCACCCCTACTCCCGCGGGCGGTCAAGCTTCAGGGCAGAACAGTCAAAGCCAGTGTGAGTGATCCTCCTTTTCAGCTGTGCCCTCTTGCAAAGAGGTGTTTCTGTGCTATGAAGCTTTTCTACCTCAACTCTGGGTGTGGTTGTGAAGCAAACCCGCCGTCTTGTAAACTCGGGGAGCGAACAACTTGCTTGGTGGCGGGACCCAAACCTTCATCATTCGAAGTGTTGTTTCCGATCCATCTCGGCGCGACGATCTACCGTCGCATTTGACAAGACGCATGTTGACGGTCAATTCATGTTAGCATGTGTCACTGCAAATCCCACCTAACATCCGCAGTATGTTAGCATCGCAAAGTTGAACACATACAACTTTGCGAAAAGTTAGCTAGCCATGTGATGAAATTTGTGCACATTGAATGATTCGTTGAGCTTTTAGTTACGAACGAAATCTATAACTTTGACGTGTTTGTGTCGCAATACTCAATTTCCTTTGATTTAGCATCTGCAAATTCCCCCACCTCTCCTACAGCATCTAATCCGGCAAACCCAACCACCTCCGCCACACCAGCTGCTCCTGCTACCACTGCACCCACTACCACTACTGCTGCTGCTAACACAAATACCTCAACCACTGGGCCGGCTACAACTCCGACACAATCAAGCGCCACTTCTACCCCGTCGACTCCAACCACTACCAGTGCAGCCAACAATCAGGCGAATGCAAACACCTCTCCCGCAAGTGC